TGTCTTGTCTTTTTGATCTCCTTGTAGCCCCAGCTGTCCTGGAGCTCACTATGTAGACCAGACTGGCCTTGAACTCAGAGATCTGCCTGCCTCTGCTTCCAAAGTGCTTGGATTATAGGTATGCTCCACCACACCTGGCTTCCGTCTTCTATTTTTATAATGTATGTATGTGTGTTCCACGTTCGTACAGATGCCCATGGAGGCCAGAAGAGGTTGTGGGATCCCCTGGAGCTGGAGTTTCAGGGGGTTGTGAGCCACCTGATGTGAGTGCTTGGGAACTAAAGATAGGTCCTCTGGAAGAACAGTAAAACCTCTTTACCTTTGAGCCATCTCTGTATCTCCTTGTATCCCAGTAGTAGGTTACTGTTTCTGAGAAAACTCTTATGCTTTCTAAAAGTTATTTTCTCAGGGCTGGAAAGATGAATCATTGTTACAAGCACTTCCAGAGGACCTAGGTTTGGTTTCCAGCATCCACATGGTGGCTAACAACCATCCTTAACTCCCAATTCTGGTTGATCCTACACCCCTCTCCTGGCCTCCACCTGCATTGCACTAAATGGATGCACTTCCATACATGCAGGCAAAACACACATACACATAAAATAATAAATCAAGAAAAAATTTAAGGTATTTTCCTACTCAAAAATGTTCAATGACATCCTGGGAACCATTAAAATCCAGCCATGAAGTCCATCCTGACTCTAAAGGCTTTAGTGTGATTCTCCTCCATTGTGACCTTAGCTTATGTTCAGGTCAAGATAATTCAATCATCTTTTTAGCTTTTTAATTATGTTTTTCTTAGAACATTACTGACAAATAGAAATATAATGTACACATAGGTAAACTTGTTTTTTATTAGCCACATTTTTAAAAAATTAAACAAGCCAGGCATATCTCTGAAATTGAGGCCAGCCTGGTCTACATAGCCAATTTCAGGCCACCTGGGGCTACAGGAAGAACCTACCTCAAAAAATTTTATTTAAGACTTTAAATTTCAATTCCATAAACAAATGTCAGTTCTCATGAGTCTTATGAATTCACCCATTACTTTGTAGCTGTCATTTTGATACTTGAAGCATAGGAAGGGTCTGCCCATTATCTAAAGACTAGGTAATAAATATAGGTTCAAGTAAATTTGGAGGAAAAGTAGGTACAAACATAAAAAGAAATTGTAATTTTATGTGTATGAATATTTTGTTTGCAAGTATTTAAATGCACCTATGTCATGCAATGCCTGCAAAGGCCAGAAGAGGACAACAGATCCTCTGGAACTGGAGTTAGGGAAGGTTGTTAGCTGCCATGCAGGTGCTGGGAACTGAACCCTGGTCCTCTCAAGAGCAACAGTGCTCCTAATTACTGAGTCATCTCAGTACAGACTTATTTTGCCTGCTTTATTTCATCTTAGACCCCCCCTCCCCCCCTTTTTTAACATATTTTGAGACAAAGTCTTATGTGTCCCAGGGTGGCATGGAACTTGTTATATAACAGAGTCTGGCTTTAAATTTCTGACCCTTTTGCTTTCCCTGAAGTGCTGGGATTAGAGGTGAGTGCTACCATATCTGGCTCCATTTTAGCCTATTAATTTTTTTTCTTTAAATGCAACACTGTTCTTTTATCCTCCATACAAAACCAGTTCTTTTAACGATCTTGAGTCTCCTGCTGTTCTTTCCTTAAACTAGGCCATTACTCAACTAGGTTGCTTCAACAGCATCATTAAAAATTTGGTCTCTCAGACTGTACTTTTACTGTACCTACCACTTCCTCAGTCTCTAGACAGCAGCCATACTGTTCTTTCTAAAATACAAACCTGTCATTTTACTTCTGTGCTAACAGCCCCATGGTTCTTACGTTAAAGTCCAAACTCAGTGCGCCTTATGAAGCCTAAGGGCTGAGTAGTGTAATGGACAGAGAGCAACAGACTTTCAAAAGCCTACGAAAGGCACATAAAAATTAAAGAACTTAGCCAGGTACAATGGTGCACACCTTCAACCCCAGCACTCCGGAGGCACAGGCAGGTAGATCTTTTTCTCTGTGACTCTGAGATTGATGCCAGACTGGTCTACATAGCAAATTCCAGGCCAGCTAGGGCTACAGGAAAACCCTGTCTCAAAATAAAATTAAATAATTTCCAAGTTCTAGAAAGGGACTAGAGAGGTAAGTTTGAAGCACAAAGCTGGAACTATACCCTAAAGGGCTTTTAAAACTTTGTTAATGAGTCTAGACATTAGATTAGAAGGATCTACTCATCCTTTAAATTACTGTACCACAGTGTCATCTGTTAAGCTCAGTTGCAACTAGTGTCAACTAGGAATAAAATTTAGCCTTGAGAAATAAAAATTATATTTATATAATTATGTTGTAATCTCAGGGACCCAAAAGTAAGGTAACCTTAATTGTGCTTTAAGTTTTTATATGATGGTTGCAGTATCTGCAGTTTTAACTTCAAGAGGGGTTGGTAACTACCTATATCACCTATAGAAATTATGGTTGATGCTACCAAAGTTAAATTTTCCCATAAGAAATTGTCTCTAGGGGCTGGAGAGATGGCTCAGCGGTTAAGAACACTGGGTGTTCTTGCAGAAGACCCAGGTTTGAATCCCAGCACCCACATGACAGCTAACTTCTGTAACTCCAAGTTCCAGGGGATCCGACAGCCTCTTCTGACCTCCAAGGGCATTGTATGACACAGGTGCACTTACCTACAGTAATGCAGGCAATACATGCATACACGTTAAATAAAATTTTTTTAAAAAATTGTCACTGGGGGCTGAAGAGATTACTAGCACTGGCTGCTCTTGCAGAGGACCCAGGTTTGATTCCCAGCACCCACTTTGGGGCTAACAACTGTCCATAACTCCAGTTCCAGGGGATCCGACAGCCTCTTCTGACCTCCACAGGCATTGCATGACATGCTCTTACACACATGCAGGCAATACACTCATTTTTTTTTTAATTTATTTTTATTTTATTTCTGGGTTGTTTGGAAAGGACTATATATTTTATAGGTGCACAGAAGTTATAAGAATGTTTTAGGAAATTAGTTTGATCCAATCCAAAGATCAGCTCACATGATGGAGGGGCATTTGCCTAATATCTGATCCAACAATGAGTTGACTCCTGGATCCACTCTGAATATGCTGAACCAATGCCATTAACTTGCTTAATGGTTCTCTCTACCAACTGGTGATGTGACCTAATGAACGCTTCCACCTTACCTACTGTTCTGCTATTTAGCTGCTTTCTTTTTTTGGTCTTTTTGAGATAGCATATCCCTGTAGCCCCCACGTGACCTGGAACTCGCTATGTAGACCAGATTGGCCTTGAACTCACAAAAGTCCTCCTGCCTCTGCCTCTGCCTTTTTGGTGCTGGTATTCAAGGTGTGCACCACCACACCTGGCTTAGCTGCTTTCTTTAACCATCCTATGCCCAGTGGTAATGTACACAGAACTACAGTACTAAGGACTCTGGCTGTTTTGTTTTGTTTTGTTTTTTACTTTTAAAAGTTTGAGTGTATGAATGTTAGTTAGGCCTGCATTTATGTAAGTGCCCCTGTGTCAAGCAGTGCCCACAGAGGACAGAAGTGGACCTTAGAAACCCCTGGAACTGGAATTGCAGGTGTCTTTTAGCCACCCTGGGGATGCTGGGATTTGAACCTGGGTCTTCTGCAAGAGCAGCCAGTGCTCTTAACCACTGAGCCATCTCTCCAGCCATTTCTCCAACCATATTGAAGTTCTGCTGTATAGTCTTACTACTAATTACCTACCCCTTCTGGTTAAATTTTGATCATTTTTTTTTTTTTTTTTTTTTTTTTTTAGATTGCCATCTAACTTTTGCTTTTAGACTTCTCTGATGTCTAGGCTAGGGAAGGTGACACTGCTGTGAATATGTGATCCCAGAGTCTACTTAGTGCATTATGCCTATCATGATGTCTTACTGCCACCTTCCTTCAGACTCAGGTCCCTTGAGAGCAGAATCTAGATCCCATTTACTGTAATATCCATAGTATTTTAAGTCTTTCAAATTCTTTTTTTTTTTATCTTGATCGTCATCTAAATCAGTCTATCCTTTAGTCACCAACATCAGAACTGGATACGTTTTTGGGCATTTCCTCATACTTACCTACACTGTCACTAAAAGGGGTAATGATGGCAGAAGATTAAGAAATAAAGGGGTTTCCCAGCTGGGCAAACATGAATGTAAACAGAGAGGAGCCAGGAGTGTGTCTCTGCAGTAGAGCTTTGCCTAGCATGTAGGAGGCTTGGGTTCAAAACTTAACCATCACATAAAAATGTGTTTTATGTTGTATTTTGTTTTGTTTCCTTTGGCACTAGGCTTTGAACTCAAGCCTTTTACATGGTAGACAAATTCTCTATCACTGAACCATACTTCCAGCCCACCTGTCCCCTACTGGTTTTTTTTAAGTGATTGGAGGAGTCTCTTCTTGCTTATTAATTTGAAATCAAGAAATTGATCTATCTGAACTTCCCCCATTTAGCTTGCCATGAAAAACAAGTCAGGAAAAATAAAGCACTTTTCCCCTATAAACTAGTTTAAAGAATATGTGTG